ATATATTACACAAAACAGCGCCTTCTCCACGTGAAATACTATTTAATTCGTCATCAAAGAAACTGAGAAAATATACTCGCAAACACGTTCTGAATGTCCATTATACAGACTAACCTTCCAAGCTAATGGACTCTGGTCAGCACCCTGTAGAACTGTCAGGCATCTAGAATGTGAGCAGAAGCAGTCTATTGTACCCTCCTGACGCGTTTCCGGGGATGAACCTTCTTTTTCAGAACAAATGTCGTAATGGAAAGATGCTATTTGTTACACACAAGTAAATGACGTTCTATTTGCTGATTGGTTAACTTGATGGCGGAGCCTGTGGTTTGAGTCTAGTACCGACTAAGTCAGTAGGGCGCATGTATGCCCTCCTAGTGAACCGGAAAGTTCAATCAAATGGAGTGTGTGTGGACACGGACGCAGCTGATCGCTGGGCGGAATTGCCGACATGGCCTTGCGATGTGTCAGAGAAGAAGTGGGTGGGACACAGACTGGATGTGTCTGTTGCTCGTCCCAGTTGTGAAGGTGATGGCCTGAAAGCGTGAGCGGTGATTAACCTAAACGTCCAGGAAACCACAGAGCCAGCAATTTTGTCCTGGTTGTCAAGGTGATGGCATGAGGGAGTGGGCAGTGGACAAGCTGGCCGCTCCAGGGAACCATGGAGCAGGCAGTCAATTGGTGGGACAGAAAACCTCTGATGCCAGTAACTGCAACAAATGTCCTCCAGCTCTGTCCGCACAAGGCCAGGCCAATCGGCTTGTGCAATTCAGCAAAGACATGATATGAAGAAGTGTCTACATTACCAGCTTGAACGTGCAATAAATTCATAAAATGTTTGTCTCTGCATATTGGATTATTGTGTCCCTACACTGCCATATAGTAGTCAGACTTCTCTGTGTTTAATGCCTTTGTTGGCCTAATTAAAGGGAATTCTAAATCTTTATTTTCACATTTTATTTTACCCACTTGGAGCGTGTCCTGTGTCCCACAGTACTTAGTACCCAGTGAGACCTTAATATTTAGGCCTGGTTCGCACCTTGGCGTTTTACAGCGCGTTCCTACGCGCTGTAAAAAGCTCAACATGTAAAAACCAATAATTGCCTATGGGCATGGTTCCCACCTGTGCGTATTTCAGCGCGTAGGAACGCGCTGAAAAACGCCCTACGCCCAAAGAAGTACAGGAGCTAATTTGGAGCGTTTTTGTCCGCGCGTATCCATTAGGATACAGCCGGTTAGCCCTCGCAAAAGTGCGTTTGTCGTGCGTTTCTTTTGCCGCAAATCACGGTAACGCGCAGCACGACACGTGCAGCGAACGCGCATATTACGTAAGCCCAGGTGTGAACCCAGCCTTACTGCTGCTTGAAGTGGTTTTACTGACGGACAAAAGCATGTCTGTAAACTTCCATTATTAACCGCATTGTATTGTCCAATACACTTAGTGACACTAAACTCAAGGTAAAGCTTAAAAATGCATTCAAGTACCTTTTTTAAAGTGACATGAAAGTCTTTTATTATTTTATTGTGTTTTTTTTTTTTTTAATCTATTGCTAGCAAGCTTTAATGTCACTTTATTAACAAACATTTGATTTGTCTATCACTTAGCTGAAGATCCTCAAATCATCTCTGAATTGGTGCTGATACTGTCCTTCCTTCTGGAGGGTGACTTCTTTGTTTCCTACGGTCCCTGTGTGTGTTGTAAAGTAGTCACCGCTCCAAGCTCACTCCCATGATGGGCTACAATCTCAATACAAATTGGTAAAACTATTTTGCCTCATAATGAGATCGATTTTGAAGTGGTGGCTACTTTACAACAAGTGTACGGGGACCATAGCGAACAAAAGTAGCCGCCCTCCAGAAGGAAGGACCGTGTCGGCACCAATTCAGAGATGATTTGAGGATCTACAGCCGAGTGATATACAAATAAGATACATTTTTGTTTATAGTTAAGGTACTTGGATGCAGTTTTAACATTTTTTAACTCCTGAGTTTTTTAGCGTCGCTTTAATAGCAGTAACCCATACTACATTAAGTGTAGCTTCCCCCCCCCACTTTTTAATGCTTAAAAAGCCTCCCCCTGGCCTGGAATGATGCTCCCATACCAGAGGGTCAGGATCTGCTGGGTGCTCTGCTACGTTAAAACCTATCAGATGGAAATTGTAATAGTGCTGAAAAAGTTAGACATTTTACTTGATGTGACAAATTGTAACAATCTAGTCTGATAAGTTATTTGGGGCAGGTCATGGGAATTTCCTCACCCCTAGTTGCAGGTGATCCTTAGCAGGATAAACAATACAAATATTGAAATTCCTCCCCAGGTCTGGGCACACATGTGTATATCAATCTGCTCCTCAGGACGCTCTAGTTTCACGGTTTTTCACGTGTTCTGATGGCAAATGATATACAGATTGTCTCGTGGAATGTACGGGGCCTGAACTCCAAATTTAAAAGGGCTTTGGTACTTAAATACAAATATTTTCTTACCCATGCCTTGTTTGGATATACTGTTATGTAGAAAAGATGAGGATCCACATCAGTTTTTGGCCTACAGTAGCTGTTGCAGTCTGTTTATTTGCCACCAAAGTGGACACACTCAGATCCTGTTGTCTGCAAAACCTATATACGTGCTAAAAACTTACTAAAACCACCGATTTATTATCTTTGGGCACAATCATTCTCACCCTCCAGAAACTCTGAGACTTATTAAAATGTGTTTCAAGCTTTTAATCCTCTTGTATCATTATATTGTAAAAGCACTAAAGTTGAACCTGTAAGCTGACACCATCATTTTCATTTTTCAAGTTGCAACTGAAGCACGCTGTCACAACTGCAGAGGTGATGCAGCTGAAAGAGAGGGTAAGTTCTTTTACCGTTTTATGAAATATAGTTTTCACTTTCTTCTCATAGGTGTGCACTTCTGAGATGGTGAAAAAACTCCTCATAAGGGAAGCTGCTTCTGCTGTACGCTTTCGCATGTTGTGCTATTGGTATGATTGACTGATATGCACAGAGATACTGTATATAGTAAGGGTATCTGGCACAGCGTTTCCCTGTTAGCTGTTCCCACATGTAAGGGAAGTGTGTTGGCCAGAACAGTCAGGTTATAAAGTAGTTCTTTTTCTCAGTCTGCCTAGACCATGAAAGCAATAATGTGTTTGGTTACTTTGGGAAGCACAACAAATGGCAAACGCACTCATCAACTCAACCAACTTTAAAAGCAAGGTGCACATGGAAGGGCCTTAAACAGCACAACAGCAAAAAGTTTCCCAGCACTCTCACCAGCCAACATGCAAAAAACAACCTGTCTAGCTGCTACGGTTAAAAACAGAGGTTTTAGATGCACGTCTTCTGCAGAATATGTGAAAGCCGCACTGCCTCGTCAAGGCTCCTCTGTGTAGAGCGGCTCTAACCCTAACCTATTAGAGTCTCCATCTTGGAGCACATGTAGCAAAAGATAAAATTGGGTGCAGGTTCGCCAGGAGGCAGCCCAACCTCCCTAAAGGCACATGGACACACAAGGGACCCCGCAGATCACAACGGCAGCTGAGACCCCCCCAGTGTATCACTGCACCAAATCATGGAAGGAAAACAAATGGCAAACACACTCATCATCTCATAACCAGCTTTAAAGCAAGGTGCACATGGAAGGGCTTTATACAGTACAACAGCAAAAAGTTTCCCATCACACTCACCAGCCAGCATGCAGGTTGTTGTTTTTTTTTTGCATGCTGCCTGATGAGGGTGCTGTGAAACTTTTTGCTGGTTACTTTGGGAGACATGGCCCGTTAAGCTGAAGTAAAATTAGATTTTTCAGGAACTTGTTTATGACAGAAGAGGCATTGTATGTCCCACCTGTCATAGATGCTTCTTTCTGCCAGTTGGTGCATTTTTCTGTGTGGGTACACAAAGCCGCACGTGCGCAGCTCGGTCTACAATCTCTGCACGATTCTGTGCTCAGACGAAGTAACTTCTGTGTGAGTGCGGGGGAATTATATTATCTTGGCCCAGCCAATCAAGCGGCTGAAGACTTCAAACCTGGGAGAAGATGGAAGTGCTGGCAACGGAGGGGGATCGCTGACATACCAATGTTGGAGAGGAACACTTTGGTAGGTAGATGTGCCCCAAGGGTGTACATACTAGCAATTTATGGCTAAAAGCTCCTGGGGTCCCATCTTTATTTTTTATTTTTGCCAGCGGTTTACTTCAGCTTAAACTTTTTCACCCGGGTGACTATGAGGCTAGGGAATGGATATATTCAAGAATAATATTGGGAATGGTTAGATTAGTAAATCTCAGCATTTACATTATCCTCTACAAAATCTGACTGACACAGAAATCTCCCTTTTTTTTCATGTGGTCTATGAAAAAAAAAAAACCTTTTCTACTTGAAAGAGCAGGAAGTTCTCATTGGCTCATCATTCTTATTTGTTTTATAGATAAAAGCTGCCGAGGCAGAAAAGCTGGATTGGGAGACAAACCGGTCGAAGTATCTGCAGTCCGTAGAAGAAAACAAGGAGAAGATTAAGAAGTTGGAGACCTATTGGCTGGAGGCTCAGGCACTGTGTAAAACTGTTAATGAACATCTGAAGGAAACCCAAGAGCAGTATGATACACTGGAGAAGAAATACACAAAGGCCAAGAAGTTACTGAAAGAATTTCAGCTGAAGTGAGTTGTCACCTTTTGTGTAGTAATGTGATTCGCATCCATGTGTTTCAGAAACAAGGTTTTATATAAAGCAAGTTTATCACTGAAGTGTAACAATTGGAAGATGTAAAAAATAGTATTCTAGATATACCTTAAACTTTTTTTTTTTTAAATGCTGCATGTACTGTATTAGTGTATGCTTATGATTTTCTTCCCACAATCCCCTGTACAGTAGAAGCCAGGCTCACGCACACACACACACTTTTTACAGGAAAAATTGAGGGGAATTCATCTTCAAGGGGCCACATTATGTCTTCCGAGCGCCGCACAAACTCAATTCCAGAAATAAGATTATAGTACCTATTGCAGTTTACAACATTCTATCCCAGAGAAAGGGCTTCGAAACTTTTTTCCTGAGGAGCCGAGCTACAAAATTAACTAAGGTAGTGTTCTCAGCTGGAGAACAGGCAGGACCTCATTCAATTTAAACTTTACATTGGTCCATCGTGGCTTAATGCATATATCGTACTTGAGCAGCCCACGGCAATCCTGTAAAGTACCATAGTAGCCAGAGCTACTTCAGTGCTGACAGTCTTCTTGCTCTTGTATTGCACTGTGCAGATTCCACTCTGCTGTGAAAATACAAGGGGGGGTGCTCGCTTGGCACATCTGCCAATCGGAGAAGGCCTTGTATTTGATAAAAATAGGCATTCTCTGAATGGCCACTCTGCTGAGTGAGCGATCACCATGGGCTGATCAGGTATGACATATGCATACTTACATTGGGCTAAGCAGGAATTGTATCACAGAAATATAAATAATTTGGTAAATAAAACACAGAAGAAGTTTATGTATTTCAAGTCTGCAGTTACCTGTGTCCTGCCGAAGATATTCTTGTGTTTTGCTTGTCTTGTGTTTGCACATTCCATAATTTTTCATTTTAAATTCGCAACCTTATTCCTCCTTAGCTTGCTGCACACTTTGTGCCTCGAACTATAGGAGCTTCCTCCATAATGGTGTTTTTGGTAGTTGCCATAATTTAATCTCAGTAGCCTTTAACATCTGCTTGTTGCTCAGTTTATTGGCTGTGGTCCTAATGTCCCATGTTTCAATTTGTAATCCATTTTAGTATGTTGGAAACTCCTAGGCAGCTTATAACTGCAACCTAAAAAAACTTTCAAATATTTTCTTAAGGATTTACAGATGTTTTGACCAACGATTTTACCCAATGTTCACTCATGAGTCACATATTTTGCAAAGAAGATTTGGTTAGAAAAATGTTGAATCTTGGGTGAAAACCTTTATAGACCAACCAGCAGGAGATGTTTTTATATCCTTTTTGTTCTCATTTTACTTTCAGAGAAATAGAATTTGAAAAGAAAGAGAAGGAGCACCAAGAGCTCCTAAAAGGAAAGGACAGACGTCACAGCGAACAAATGAATTTGCTAAAAGCAAGAGTAAGAGGTTTTTTTTTTTTTTGCAGTAAATGATTATAGTTTGTAAATTATTTGAAAGTAAATGCTTGTAACGTCACAAGGTGTTTAACCAGTTGACATCCGCGGTGTTAAACCCCCTTCCCATCCAGGCCATTTTTCAGTATTCAGCGCTGCGGTACTTTGACATTTATTCCGTCATGTAACGCTGTACTGAAATTTTATACAATTTTTTGGGGACAGATAGAGCTTTCTTTTGGTGGTATTTAATCACCACTGGGGGTTTTTATTTTTTACTATATTAAGGAAAAATTACCGAAATTTAAAAAAAAATGTTTCCCCTATATTAAATGATAAAACATTTATTATTACCCAATTTTTTTGTAAAATATAAAAGACTGGGTCACGTCGGGTAAAAAGACACCAAACATATCAAGCCTTAAAATTGCATGCGCGCGCGAAACCTCAAAAAAATGATAATACCCAAAATTGGCCATAGGCGACGCTTTAAAAGCTTTTTACCGCTCATCAGTTTAGTATTATCAGTGATTGATGGCCCTAAAATGATTGCTCTCACTGCGACGTTCACGGGGATATGTAACGTGTGTAGCGCAATTGTTGTTTTTGCGCGCTGGTGCACCGGACACATATTTACGTTTATATCTGCGTGGGGGTGGGGGAGTTAAACATATGCTATTATATAGGGGGATAACAATCCCCTATATAATAAAGCAAAGGCACACTGACACGTCCTCCTTTTATGGAGACGGGTTCCTAGGACCCCTAATGTCACCTGTGGACCCCAAAAGAAGCTGATGAAGCACAGATTTGCTTCATCAGCTTCTTTTCTCTGGCTATAGCAGCCAGATGACTGACAGGGGAATGCGGAAGTGATGGTGGGGCTGCCGAAAAAACGAGCACATATAGACGATCGGCTGGCTATGGAGCCGCCGACCGTCTATGTGAAACACCCCGCCAGGGGGCGTGTGCGAGCAGAAAAAAAATGCCGTCTGGAGACGGCAACCCACCAATGCTGCAGTGCCGTCCGTCCATTTTTTTACAACGGGCGGACGGCAAGTGGTTAAAGCTGCATTTCAGGCAGATAAAGTTGACTTTCAGATAGTGCACTTATTCTTCCTGCCTAGCCCATTGGCCTAAGGTTAGCCACCGACGCAGCAAGGTTGGTGCCCTGCAGGCCCAACTAGACATGTATGAGGCCATCTCCTGAGCTGTATGGGGAAAAATTGTTGATACTCTGTTGCTTACAAATGTCCCATTTAGCTTCGGTCCTAATCGGGAACAGTATAAACGTATATTAGGGCTGACCTATACTTGGACGTAATCGTTAGTCTTAACAGTCCTTAATGTTTACTCTTTTTCTCACACCTTGCACGACTGTCAGCATCATTTTATGTAGCTATTTGCGCATGGGTCTGCTTTACAGCGAATCTGTCCTAAAAACTCATACTTGCCACAAAGCACTACAGTCATGGGCAAACCCTGAGCCATTCTGACAAAAGCTTTACAACTTCCTGATAGTGCAGTAGTTTGCTCTCCTCCATTGCCCATCATAATGCTTAGCTGCCCGTCATAGTGATAAGCCAATAGAAATGTGTGAGACTCTGACATGACCCAGAAGTGTTGGTGCTTTGCCGGTCAGAACCAGCTAGGATTCAGTCATGGCGGGAAGGTTTTGGGAGGCTGTAGTAGGTATGCACATATCTAAAGGTATGGTACCTCCTAGGTGTTGTACTGCAGGAATCTTTCTTTTCTTATTTTTAAAGGTAGTAGGGTCAATTCACAAAGCTTTATTTTCTTCATTTCGGACGTTATTTCATTGATACCGCTTGTTATATAGTTGCTGCGTAAAGGTAGTCAATTCACAAAACTCAACTATTCTTATTTTTAAGAAGTGGTAAATAAACATGTCAAATGTTTTAACTATTCAGACCTTGTTTTAACAAAAGGACCTTTTTCCTTTTTGTGAATTGCATTCCAAGCATATCTGATCACTCCAGTTATCACTCGTTATTGATGTGTAGATTTTATCACCTCCTTCGGGGTGCGTTCTGACAGATTTCAGGTGTTATCTGATGCTTCTTGCACTGTGATGAAGTGAGGTATATAGAAATGGAACCTTTTTTTTTTTCTTCATTTTCACATGGTTTAATGCTTTTGCATGGCACAGAAGAATGCGGCATGTAGTTGTCATTTCTACAGTTTTTGTCCTTCTAGAAATGGGGATGATTTTTTACTGTTGGAGGTTATTGGCAAATCTCACCTGACACAAAAAATCAAATGTCCCTGGACCCCCTACAGTGGGGTTGTAGAGCAAGTGGATTGTGTTCCATGCAACACATTTAATATCAAAACAGGCTTTAGGTGGTAAGGAGAATTGCTTCCCCTCCCTACACTGTCTGATTATCAACAGATGTATAGCTAGAAAAATCTAATATTTCATATATTCTTTCCGTTCAGAATTTTTTTTATTGTAATTTCTATATAATTACTAAATGTAAAATTGGTGTGCATGAGGCGAATATATTCCTTATATGTGGAATCCTTTCTTGTAGTGGAAGTGAAAACAATCATCTGCTCCACCCCTTCTGCTACCAAAATGCACTGCAAAAGTGTTACAATTACAGCTAAAACGTTATTTTATCACAGTAATAGAGAAAATAAAGTTTGTGATGTTAAAATAACACTTGCTTAACACACGTTAAACTGTGTTTGCATTCACGATTCCAGCTTCTGTGAATTGCATGTTTCAGCAAACAAAATAGAGTGGTAAAATAACAATAGGTAAATTAACTTTTACTCTCATAACACTGAGCTTTGTGAAAAGGCCCCAGTGTGTCTGTAAAGGCTTAGTAGTGTTTTAAGCTTCATAGTGGTTGTCATATTTTTGTAGTGAACCATTTCTGCAAAAAAAATCCTCCTATATAGCAGTGCCAATTTTGGAACTGTTGTGCAGAGTTTTAAGCTAACAAAGTACAGCAGTTGTGTAGGTGGCAATGTTAATAATTCAAACCACTTTACAAAGATGATGACGCTATCAAAATGTATTTAAAAACACTCCAGATCATTTCTGGCAATCTTAAAATAGACATAATTACTTACGCCTCTTAGCTAATGGGTTGGAATTAATTTCTACCTCCCGATAGTGACTGGAGGGCTGCATAAAACTTTGTGAGGAAACTTCCCACAAAGGAGTTCAAGGGGTATACATATGAAGTTCAAAAATAATTTGTTTTACTGAAGTTTGTGTATCGCCATGGACAGTTTTGAAAAGTGTTTTGTTTTTTAGGGGGGGTTGTTTTTTTCTTTTATATTGGTGCTTGATTAAAAAGAAATCAGTAAATTTGGTAGGCATTTCTAATTGCAACCTACCTGCTTCCAGCTAACATTCATCCAGACATTTATTTAATGTACATCTGTCCACCCCCAATCCTCCAGAGCTACATGCAGGTCACAAATCCAGGCAGACGCAATCATTTTGGTTGGCAGACTAAGGCTTTAAAGGTCAGGAGAAAAGTACAGAGTCCGAAATTGGCGGCCTCTTTTTGAAAATGATCTACCCTTAAAGCTGGCCAAGTTAATGAAAATGCTGAAGTACAGACATGTACTTGTAGCTCTATTGATCTTCAAAGCAGTCCCTGTGGGGCCCTTGGCTTCTAGACCTTGTATGTATACTGGACCTCCACTTCTGTCAATGTTGTCACTAACGTTGCCCCATCTTGGGGCTAAGCCCTACATGCACCATTCAACAATCCAGTGCCCAAACTCTTTAGGCACAGACTCATGGGTTTTAGTCTGTGCCTAAAACCCATGAGCATCACAAGGATACATAAACGACTGAAGTTTATCGCAGGTACTTGCGGGCACCACAAAGTGTCTGCACTGGAGCAAAATTGTTAGCTTAGCCAGATTTTTAGCTTTACTTGAGCAGACTTTTACCGTATTTGCTGGCGTATAAGACGACTCGGAGTATAAGACGACCCCCTACTTTTTGTGTTTAAAATATAGGTTTTTGGCTGTACTCATCGTATAAGACGAGTATAGCCCAAAATGATGTTTAAATGCACCCACTAACATGTATGGTGGTATTCCCGAGTGTGGCTTGGGGTTAATTTTCAGTACCATAAGCGGTAACCCCCGAGCCACACTCGGGATTACAGTCTCTTACCTTGTCCACGATCCCCGCTGTGTCCTCCGTCTTCCGCTGAGCCAATCACAGCAGGCTTTGTATTAATGAATACAGGCTTTGTATTCATTAATACAAAGCCTGCCGTGATTGGCTCAGCGCTGTATACTGTATGTAGCCGAAGCTACATACAGTATACCATATCCTTCCGTATGTACCCGGCGTATAAGACGACCCCCGATTTTCGGGGAATGTTTAAAGTCTCAAAACCCGTCTTATACGCCGGGAAATACGGTACCTTTCCTGGTGATGCTTGCATTATTCTCTGCATGCCCTGTATGTCGATTAAATCCTCTGTGAGGTAAAACTTATACTAAATATTGTAATAACATTTTCTTCTTAGATTTCAGATCTTGAAAACAGACTCGGTGCCTACGAGCAAACTCTGCAGGTGGTCCCCAACAATAAACATAGTGATGTTCATGAGAATGGCGAGGAATATGCAGGCGCAGCTGCGGAGGAGACCTTAGACGACCTAGAAACAGAGGGCTCTTCACTTCTAGAATGTTCTGTGTCTGGTAAAATGATTTCCCTAATTCTCAATAAAAATGTAATTGTGTTATAAAAGAATATATAATGAGCAGTATGACCATTTTGCATGAAGACTGCCAAGTACTTACAAAAAAAGAAAGCTAAAACATTTCACTCTGTTACTTGATAAAATGAACTTTGAAATATTTGTGCAATCTTCCCTATTGGACAATAAGAAGCTATGATTCTAACATTGTTAGAGGAATACAGCATGCTTGTATATCATGCACTGATTGGGGACAGGATGAATGTAGTATGTAAATCCACATGGCTTTTATCATCCGGTCATGAAAGACACATATAGAGGTTTCCATTGCTGCACTGAAAAAAAATATCTGGCCATTTTGAAAGTGTTCTGGCTTCAGTTCATTGAGTCATTATGTTGGAAGATCAGGCGTTCTGATTACCACATGCTTCTGCTAGGTCACAGTCTCGAAGTTCTAAAGCTAGAGACAGTCAGTCTACTAGAATGTCACAGGAGCTACTGCTAACATTAGCAGCCCTCATATTTGACTGATTATTGGTTTTCTTAAAAGCTCCATGCAGAAATCATCCGTGCTAGTCTGTGTTCATTATTCTAAATGTATTTTTTACTCTACAGTTAAGGACCTACATTTTGACTTTATATAATGTTCTTGTAGTCCCCGTACAGCAGAGTTCAATCATTGGGTAGCAGAAAACAGCTCAAGCTGGTTTGGAGGAGAGCGCATAGTGACAGATTAGCTTAGTCTGTTGCCCCTCAATTCACTGGGCTGTCAAAGGCTGGAGGAGGGGAGGAGACCTCCAAAGGGTTACTGAACTGTAGCAGAGAAAAATGTGGTCTAATCTCCTGCCCGCCCGACAGGTCTATGACCTGTGAATTGCAGAATTGAATGGACAGAAATACAAATACGTTGGCAGGTAAAATAGCTTCCTTATATGTATTCCATCTGTGTATTTAGGCAATTGCTTGGACTTCAGCCTTTCAGCAGTACAGGACACAGTGTTGGGGGGGGGGGGGAAAAACCGGGGGCCCTTTTTG